GTTCTTGGAATTTCAAGTAAATTCAAAGTGAAAGGATCTCACATCAAGCTTTCTGCAATTTTTTATTGGTATAGAAAATGTTTATAGCAAAACACACAACAGTTTAATGACTTCAACAAGCATTCTGCAGTTTTGACTTTAATTCAAAGCTTGTGAGGAATAGTTCAAAGAAACTGATTATTTTATTCAAAATAAAAATTTCAAACTCATTACTGTTAAATTGGAACCATATCAAAGTTGATCTTCCACTGAGTTTTCCGAGGCTGTAAATGGAAAGGCCGGAGATGGCTGTCTCTCTTCCAAGGAGCTGGTCGAGTCAATTGGCAGAGAGGTGTGGCCTTTCTGTTACAGTGCAACTCCCTCGACTACTCTATCAGAGCTCCCCCTTGTTAGTGGTTAGGAAAAAAATAGTTAATACTTGTCATGTAGTGATTCCAGGTCAAACTTTATGCTACATGTTTGACATATATTCTTACTTAATCTTTATAAACTCCTATGCTATTGTTGTTATGTGCCATAGAGTCACCTGCAACCCATAGTGATCCTGCGCATAGCAGCTCTAAACCTTGCCCTGTCCTGATCCAGTCTCACTAATTCTGACATACCAACCTCCTATGCCCCAGTTTCTGTATCAATCCATCTCACCTGGAGTCTTCCTCTCCTGTGCTGTCCCTCCACCCTTCTGAGCATGATGTCCTTCTCCAAGGACCCGGTCTCTCCTGGCCACATGCCCAAAGTATGTGAGACACAGCTTCAAAATCCTAGCCTCCAAGGAGAAACTTGGTTTCACACTTTCCAAGACAGAACTACTTGTTTTCTTGGAGGTCCATAGTATGTTTAAGACTCTTCTCTAGTACCACAATTCAAAGGCATATAGTATTTAGATTATTATTATCTGTGGTGTTGGAGAAGAGTGTTGAATATACCATGGACTGATAGGAGAACAAACAGGTTTGTCCTGGAGAGGATGAAACTGGGCTGCTTCTTGGAGTCAAGGATTCTGAAGCTTCGTCTGACATACTTTGGGCGTGTTGCAAGGAGAGACTGGTCCTTGAAGAGCGAAATCATCTTTGGGAGAGTGGAGGAACAGCACAGGAGAGGAAGATCGATGAGATGGACCGATTCAGTGACTGGGGAAATGGGGGTATAGACAGTGTCAGAGACAGTGAGATTGGCACAGGAGAAGGCAGGGTGTAGGGCTCTTGTACATAGGGTCGCTATGAGTCACAAGCAACTTGGCGGCGCGTAACTACAGCATCTATCCCAAAGTTTGGGTAATGAAATTCTACAAATTAAGTAGCTTGCTCAAAACATATACTAAAAAGTAGTATAACTAGGACTGTAATGAATGAGAAACATCTTTGCAAGACTTTAAGCAGGAAGATGATATAATTAATAATGTGACTGATGTTTTTTTAAATAGACTGGATTGGAGGTGGCTACATTGAAAGGGGTAACTCAGGGTAAAGATGATGGCAGTTTATACAGAGAAGTGCTCTACTGATGTATCTGAAATATATTTGGGTGTCCTATTAAAGTATAAATAAAGAAACTATGGTACAATCACACAATGGAGCATGAAGCCCTGTATAACATGAATGGAACTGGAGAAACTGTGCTAAGAAAAATAACAAGTTACAGAAGGACTATTATTGTATAAGAACACTATTATAAAAATCCAAAGAAAGTTTACACTTAGAATCACTGTTGGACAGTTATGAGGAATGAACAGGGCGATAAAAAAAAGAGGGATTAAAAATTAACAGACAAGATAGGTGAAGGGCAATATATAAACTAATATTTACAATTAATCAATCATGCTACATAATGAAATGTGTAAGAGTGATAACATTAAAAACCAATGGTTTGTAAACTTTCACTCAAATTAAAAAAATTAGTGGGTGATTTAATTGACAGGCTATGATGAGACTAGCTCCTTGTCTACGTGATTGCTGGGCACTTCTTCATCTTCCTATTCATTACAGCTGTACTGTCTTCTGGTTCCTTGAAATGTGATGTTGTATGGGCTATTTCTGCCTTGAATGCTTTTCACCTTATTCTTCTACTGCTTCATTGTAACTCATTCCTGGACTTGCCTAAAATCTCACAGCCTCAGAAAATCCTTCCTAATCTAAATTTAAACCTTTGTAAAGGCATCTGACTGTATGGATCATAACGAACTATGGATAACATTGAGAAGAATAGGAATCCCAGGACACTTAATTGTGCTCATATCAAACCTAAACTTAGACCACGAAGCTCTTGTTTGAACAGAGAAAACAAGTGTGGTTTAAAAGCTGCATGACTTAAAATCAGGAAAGGTGTGTGTCAAGGTTGTATCATTTCTCTATATTTAATCAATTAGTATGCTGAGAAAATCATTCATAAAACTGAAAGCTTTGAAGAAGAATGTGGTATCAGGATGGGAAGAAGAGCCATCAACAACCTTCATTATGGCAATAACACAACCTTGCTTGCTCAAAGTGAGGAGGCCTTGAAGTACTTTCTGCACAAGACCAGAGATTATAACCATCAATATGGACTGCATTGTCAAAAAGACAAAAATTCTCACCAACGGACCAATAAGCAGTATCATAACAGATGGAGAAAAGATTGAAATTGTCAATGTTTTCATTTGGGTTGATAATCAATACCCGAGGAACCAGCAGTCAGAAAATCAGGAGATGTATTGTACTGGGCAAGCGTGTTGTCAGGGACCTCTCCACATTACTGAAGAGCAATGATATCAGTTTGAAGACTTAGATATGCCTGATTCAGGCTATGGTCTTTTCCATCACTTGCTATGAATCTGAGAGCCGGGCAGTGAATAAGGATGACAAAGAAGAAATTATGCCTTTGAATTGTGGTGTTGGACAACTGAATATCCCACGAAATGGCAAAAGAACAAACAGGTATGTCTTGAAAAAAGTGCAGGTCGATTGCTCCTTAGAGGGAAGGATAGGGAACCTTCATCTCACATACTCTGGGCTTGTTGTTAGGACAGGCTATTCCTTGGAAAGGGGCTACAACGAGACAGAGTGACATACTAAAGGGCACAAATAGGTCAGAGATGATGAGGATGGCACAGGATTCAAATCTGCTGTTCACAGGGTCACTATGAGTCACACTCAACTTGAAGACACATAACAACAATCTAGGTTTGGTTCCATCTTTTATTTTTTTCTTTGTGGTTGTGAACTGCTATCAAGTTGATTCTGACTCAGGGAGACCCCATGTGTGGAAAGAATAGAAATAAACTACTTTTCATCCTGTATTTATCAAAATTTATTAGATATTATTTTATTTTGTTTTAAAAATTAACCAAATAGTTATTACACTTAAACGGGACAAGGGATCTATATTTATTTTTAACAGCTAACATACTCCATTTTTGGCAACACAAGCAATTGGTAAAAGTTTGATGAGGATATATATGTCTGGCCAAAAGGTCTTTACATGTAAATTCCTCTCATATTTGCTGTTTAGAACAGATTTTCCTGTTTAGTCCTTCTAGAATCATCAATGTGGCATATTCTAAGTCATTTGTGATGTTCTACTTGTCAACCAGTTCTTACTCTACTCTCTTTCCAAACATTAACCTTGGGTTAAAAATACTGTTGAGATTAAAATGTACAACAAGAGTTGGGGACTGAACATGCTTATTTGAGGCACGTCAATTCTTACTCATTATTGGAGGAACTTTCCCCATTGAGGAAATGACTCACAAATATATATATATATATATATATATATATATATTAGATCAATGTAAACAAGCTACACAAAATAAATGGGGCATGTGTGTTTATATGTCTCAAGAGATAAACAAAAAATGTTTGTAGTAGTAGTTGTTATTATTAGATGCCTTCTAGCTGACTATGACACACGGTGACCCTATGAACAAGGGATCCACACCCTGCCCTATCCTGTGTGTCACAGCTACTATCTTTCCCATGCTTAGGTCCACTGTTGTAGTCATTGTGTCAATCCAGCATACTTTCTGTCACTAACCCTTAACCTTTCCAATCATGAGGTCTCTTTTCAAGGAGTGGCCCCTCCTAACGACATGTTTAAAAGTGTGTGTGTGAGAGGACATTTCACCGTCCTTGCCTCTAAGAAGCTGTCTACACTTCCTCCTAGTTATGCAGGTAATTTTGGGCAGTGGGGTGACAGAATACAGTGGTTTTCCTTTCTTTTTCTTCTTTTTATTAAAATGAAAAATTATTCACTTTATGATGAAAATCTCATGATAGTTAAAAATGGAAAGTAAATATTCCTACTTTTGATATAGTACTTCACCTTAACAAAAAAATCTATATTTTTAATTAGAGACATGTTCAAAGGTTTATGTATAATGATATTCATATCACTTATACATACATTCATAGCATACGATACTTGTGAACTTCAATTGAACCAGTCCTAAAACAGGAAAATTTTATTTTGTGAAATCAATGAACATATTTACAGAAAGGACATAAAAGATACCTGCTTAGAAACTTGAAGGATACTCATTAAGCACTGATTACAATGATTTTTATTCATGATTTTTAATCTGTCTCCCACATGTTCAAGTGAATCACTGTTAATCTGCAATACAAAGATAAGCACACAAAAATCTGGACTCTTCTTAAACTCAAGGAAAAAGGTACAGTGGACAAGGAACTCACACAGAAAAGTTAAATGTTACACTATTATTAGTTCTATTTTAAATTTATTTCCTTTATTATTTTCCAAGGAACCTGTATTCATTATATTAAAAGAAAAAATACCATGGTGCATTTGATTGCATATAACTGTTTCCTTGCTTTTACTAACTATTGAATTCTATATTTTAATATATACACTGTACCATGTAGTCATGGACTAGTCTTATATATAATATTATCAAACATGTAAAAATGTATTTGGTCAGACATTAAAGCAATCATAATGCAAGAAAAAAAGAAAAAGATAAAAATAGCATGACATTCACTTTTCTGGCAAAAGTGTCTTTAGAAATTGCTGCTGGCTTACAGAACTAGAGAAAGCATATTAAAATCTCGTTATTTCTAACAATTGTATTCCCTCACTGTTATTTGTCAAAAAATCAATAGGCATATAATTTTCAGGAAGAAAGCCACTGACTCCTTCAGAAAATACAACCTGACACTCTGTCTTCAAAGTAAAATAATCAGGTGGCAGGAATATGATGGAGAAGTCAGTCTTTGAAAACATCATGTAAGGGAATCCAGCTGTGCTTGTATGGTCTCCAGCTAGTTAAAAAAAACAAAGGAAAAGAGAAAGCTGGTGAAAGAAGAGAAATCCATATGAAGCACTGTTTAAACATGAAGAGAAAGGAAAGAATAGCCCTGGCATCTATGCATGCTCAAGTCATTCACATAGCAATAAAAATACCACTGGACATTTTCCCTCTCATGTGAAGATATTAGAATTCATGCTTGAAATTTAAGATTTCAAGTTTGTAAAAAAGATGATTTTCCAAACACTAGTATTTTAAATACACCCAGCTGTTTGATTTTAAATTACATTACATGGTGGGATTTTAAATGTGGAGAGGAGATTATACTGGATTATAGAATAAGTTTTTTGGAAGAAACATAAAATAGGCTCAAGATAAACCCTTAAAAGCCTAGTCTTTTCTTTACCAGCCTTCTCTTCCCTCTTGGGCCCAGAAATTAACGTATTTAACTATGTCAATATCTTAAGTATCAGACTGGCCAGGTAACACATAGTTCATTATTTAATGTTTCACATTCAAGCAGCAAATCTTAACTGCTTCCATGAAAGCCATTTCCACTTTTCTCCTGTTTTGGTTTGTCAGCTTTTGTTCACCTCAGCTATGCTTCCTACTGTGAGACATAAAATGTTCATGAGAAGACTTGAAAGAATTCAGTTCCTTAACAGGGCATTTAAAAATAATAACTGATAACAAACCCTATGCAAGAAACGATGTATCAGAAAGTTATTTTAAAAAGACAGACCTTATTATAGAAATCAAACAACTCCTTGTGGTTGAATTCCATTAGAACCTTCTGTGTGGTCTGCAAAGAAGAGAAAATGAAGTAATTTAATTATATAAAACGTACATTGCATTGTTTTTCCCCTAGCTAGCCTCACAATGTGCTCTAACATTACTTTCTGAGCTGTCATTAAAGCTTACCTGCTCTACTCAACTCCACTGTTCCTAGAACTCAAGATGTGCTGAATAACTCTCCATGTTAGCAAAAGGTCTCAGTTCTTCAGAGACATTGGCTCTTTAAGTTGACGCCACAAAGGTTAAGAAAAGATATGCTAGCAAGAGAACAATTTCATTATCTCTTTTTTTCCAGGACAGAGATAATACATGAGATTACATTTCATCTTTCTCAGCAGTCCATTTGAAATCTAGTAAATACCATTACACAAAGACACTGAAGGCGGCATATCTGATTGAACTCATCCAGCCATTAATGCCTCACATCAGCACGGCTACTGCCTCCAAGCATCAATCTGACAGTTATGATCTTAACATGCCGAGATTGTTACCTTCTCTAACATACAGACTCAGCAAAAGTTAACAATTAACACAAGCTTCAAAGCCACAACTTAAACACTTCCCAGCCATCCACCGCATATTTGTTGACAAATCGTTCTGAATACTACAGATGCTAAGAGAGTGAGTGTGAGTGAGTGTGTGTGTGTGTGTGTGTGTGTGTGTGTGTGTGTGTGTGTAGTCGCACAGTAGTCATAAATACAGGCTGCAAACTGAAAGCCTGACAAATTGTACCGTGGGATAAAGACCTGGTGAGCTCCTTGTGTAAAGAAGACAGCCAAGAAATTCCCGTGGGACCCTTACACTCTTTCATGGATTGTCGTGAGTCGGAATCACCTCTACAGCAACTAATACCTAATACCAACATAGGGAAGTGAAACAAGAAAGTAAAGCAAAGCAAACCAAATTTGTTTTGATCCTAAGAACAATAAGTAGTTACTTAAAATTGCTTAAACATAATTTACTTTGCTCAAAGTCCTTTGGAGAAATGAAAGTTAGTGAAGAGGAATGAGAAGGATGTGCTACCTGCTCTGTCTTCAGTGTAGTGTTGCTGTTGTTATGTGCCATCGCGTTGCTATGAATCAGTGAACTTACATGACATGAAATGGGCACCATGAACCTAAGATGCGGAAAGATGCTGCAAGAGAGGCACTGATCGATGCTCTTCATTGCTTCTGTTCACTCACTTCTAACAATCAAGTCTAGTTCTCAGTTGGATCCATTTTAATGATTTCCATTTTTGTTTACAAAGCCAAGATCTCCGGAGCAAGTCAGCGCTAATCCAGATGAACCCACCTTCTGAAATGCCACCTCCCTCCTCATGAAGTCTAAGCCTGTAGGATCAAATCCCACATTCCATGTCCTCTCATACACCTTCCTAAGTGCTAAGATTAAAAACGGACTCTCTCTCATTATGTCAAGTTGGAATCAACTCATAGCTGACCTTCTGGTGGGTTTTCAGAAGCTCTAAAGTGAATGAGAAGAGAATGCCTGTCTTTCCTGAGGAGTTAATGGTGGATTCAAACCAAGGAAGTACATTTGCTTTTAAATCTCAACCTATAGAAATGATACACACATTTCCCTTCTTTTAGTTTGCAGCTGAATGAATAATCCCTGGGCCTCCAGGGATCCTTAAATATGAACGCTATTAATTAGGTGCTGTCCAGTAGCTATCAGCTCATGGTGACTGTCTGTAACAGTGCAGAATGGCCTTACAGGGCTCTCTGGGTAGTATCCTTACAGAAACAGATTACCAGGCCTTTTCTCCTCTGGTTAGTGGGCTCACATGGCCAATCTTAAGATTATAGTCTGTCTCTGTCTTTCTCAATGCTGTGGGGTCAGAACTCCACCAGGTTTCCAAGACTGTAAATTGCATGAGAGGAGACTGCCCATATTCCTGTTATGTTGATGGTGGATTAAAACCACCAGAGTCATGGCCTTTGAGTGAGCAGCACCATTCCCTACTGACTATGCCACCAGAGCTCCCTCCCCCACAGTCGTTCTCCTAGAAAAGAACCTAGTGGGTAACACATGGAAACACTAATGTCTCATGTGTAACAATTTATCAGTTGCTCTTTATTCTTGGACAGGAGATATTAGATGAAAGGGACATGAGGGGCAATAAAATATCCTTTTTGAAAATTCTGCTGTATGAGTCTGGTGGCCAGTGGTTAAGAAGCTGCAATACAATCCCGAAGGCACACAGTTCGTATCCACAAGCTGCTCTACAGGAGAAGGATGGGCAATCTCCTCCCATGCAATAATTGACTTGAAAACATGATGAAGGGTTACTTATTCGTGGATTCCAACTCAGTGGCATACAATAAAGACAACATGAGCACTAAAGCTGAAGTGACAAAGATTTGAGTACAGAGCTTAGCTGTATCACTTGATGGAATAAAGGTTGTTGTTGTTGTTGTTATGTGCCCGTCGAGTTGCTTGCGACTCATAGTGACCTTATGTACAACAGCCCTAAACTCTGCTCGGTCCTGTGCCAATCTCATTGTCTCTGACACACCCATCTCTATTACCCCAGTCACTGAATCAATCCACCTCATGGTCTTCCCCTCCTGTGCTGTCCATCAACCCTCCCAAGCATGATGTCCCTCTTCAAGGACTTCTCCCTCCTTACAACATACCCAAAGTATGTTAGATGGAGCCTCAAAATCCATGCCTAGAGGAAGCTGTCCGATTTAACCCTTTCCAGGACAAATCTGTTTGTTTTCCTAGCAGTCCATGGTACTCTCAATACTCTTTTCCAGCACCACAGCTCAAAGGCATCAATTCTCCTTCTATCCTCCTTGGTCATTGTCCAAACCTCTGATGCATAACAAGTGATTGCGAAGACCATAGCCTGTATCAGATGCACCTTAGTCTCCAGAGAGACACCACTGCTCTTCAGTACTTTGGAGAGGCCCCTAACAGCAGACTTTCCCATCGCAATGCACCTTTTAATTTCCTGGCTGCTGGTGCCAAGACTGTTGACTGTGGAGCCAAGCAAACTAAAGCTATGTACAATCTCAATCTCTTCACCATCCATCCTGATGCTGCCAATTGGTTGGGTGGTGAGAATCTTTGTCTTCTTGACATTGAGCCTCAATCCATATTGAAGGCTGTAATCCTTGACCCTCTGCAGCAAGCACTTCAGGTCCTCCTCAGTTTCAGGAAGCAGGGTTGTGTCATCTGCATAACGCAGATTGTTGACAGATCTTCTACCAATCCTGACTGCACATTTCTGCTCATAGAGCCCAGCCTCCCGGACAATCTGTTCTGCATATAGGTTGAAAAGGTATGGAGGCAAAAAACATCCTTAGTGTACACCATTCCCAGTTTGAACCATGCAGTATTTCCTTGCTCTGCTCAGACGACTGCCTCTTGGTCCAAGTATAGGTTTCGCATTAGAACGATCAAGTGTTCCAGGATTCCCATTCTTCTCAGAGTCAGCCACAGTTTGTTATGATCCACACAGTCAAATGCCTTTGCATAGTCAATGAAACACAGATAGACATTCCTCTGGTATTCCCAGCTTTCAGCTAAGATCCATCTAACATTAGCTACAATATCCCTAGTACCACGACCCCTTCTAAACCCTCTAAACCCAGGCTGTTCTCTGCTGATGTGCTGTTCCAGTCGTTTTTGGATAATATTCAGTATAATCTTGCTTGCATGTGAAATCAACGATATTGTTCTATAGTTTCCACACTCTGTTGGATCACCTTCCTTTGGGATAGGAACAAATATAGATCTCTTCCAGTCAGTTGGCCAAGTGGTTGTTGTCCAGATTTCTTGGCACAACTTGGTGAGCACATCCAGAGCAGCATCTATTAGCTGAAATATGTCAATTGGTATACCATCTATTCCTGGAGCCTTATTTTTTGCCATTTCCTTCAGAGCAGCCTGAACTTCTTCCTTCAGCATTACAAGCTCTTGCTCATATGTGGTTTCATGAAATTCTTCTGTTTCTGCGAATTCCTTTCGATACGGTGGCTCAAGATATTCTTTTCATCTTCTTTTAATACTTCCTGGATCATTTAATATTCTTCCTAAAGCATCCTTGATTACAGCAACTCAAGGTTTGAATTTGTTCTTCAGTCCCTTGAGCTTAAGAAATGCTGAGCGAGTTTGGCCCTTTTGATTTTCTGCCTCCAACTCCTTGCACATTTCATTGTAATGTTTCACTTTGTAATCCTGTGCTGCCTTTTGAAATCTCCTATTCAACTCTTTAGTATCTTGATAATAAATCTCATGCATCATTTGTAAAACTCTCATAAAACTCTTATGCTAGTAAATGAACAAACATGCGTGAAACATTTAGTATACTGCCTGGTATATCTGCCGCTTTGCAGTAATTGGTAGCCAGTAAGTTTAATTAGTTTTATTATTTAATTAGTTTGATTACTGAGTAGATGGCACCCCTGGAGTACTACAAAGTTTTCACCTCACTTGTAAAGTTTATAGTACTCTGTTCTGACTTACAAGTCCTTATATTTTAAGAATAACACCACAAAACTAGTCACATCTTCATTCACTTTGAAATTGCCAGCATTAAAAATAGCAAAAAGATGTGCTATTTGTATAAATTTTATTCCAACATTTGCATTCTTTAGATGTCAATCAACCAGGAAGATTCAAAAAGAAAGTAAACGATAGTCTTTTATAAAGTTAATTATCAACTGATTTGACAGCATAGCAATTACAGTAAAACCTGAGAAAGCTGAAACCTATGTAAAGTGGAAATTTGTCAGGGAAGGAAAACTCAAATCATTTCTACTAAAATGAGCAGTGGTAAAGCGGTAAGGCTGCCCACATCAAAAGCAGAGAACTTGAGACCCAGAGGAAAAAAAGAAAATGAAGCTGTCATGTTTCTCTCATAAGTATTCACCGTGTAACTTAAATAACAATTTTGCTTTTTTTGAGACTTTATTAATTCAGTAAAACAAATTATTAAAAATAATGAAATAAGGAAAAGCACCCCACAATGACAGTCATCAGAAATGATGAACACCCTCAGTAGGATGGGCTGACATAGCGGCAGATCTGAAGGCAGCAGAGAAGCAGGTGGTGTTTCACTGTGCTGTTTGAAGGGTCAGAACTATGAGTTGATGGCATCTAACAGCATTTCATCAAATGTCTCCGCTTCCAGTACGTGGACACAACCAACCTCATCCAGTCATTACTACCACTTCACTAATCTAGGGGTAAAGCAGTTGCACTGCCAACACAAAGGCACACGACTCAAGCCTACCAGTTGCTCCATGGGAGAAAGATGGGCAATTTTCTCCTGTGTGATTTTCAGCCTCTGAAAACCACTGCAGGGTCAGTAAGGAGTTGGTTTTGATTCTGAGTAAGCATTCTGGAGTTTAATCTGCCACTTAACATTTTATCTTCATGTAAATTTCCAGCTTAGAAATAAAATAATGTGGCTGGCATGAACAAAGAAAACATTAAGAGTCACAGGTCTCTTAGCTACTGAGAAAATGTCTTTGCCCTTTTGGTTATTTATCCCCTCAACTAAGATATCTGCTGCTCTCTCAATGAAATGAAAAATTAACCTTTTGACCTTCAAGGTAATTACTCTAAAAAGGTATCTCAACTGAATCACCATCCTCCAGAATAGGTGGGTAAGAAAGAGTAATTCAACTACTCACCATCTCACTACACACATTCCTCTTTGTTGTTAGGTGCCATAGAACTGATTCTGACTCATGGTGCTCTAATATGACAGATCAGCACCTTGCCCTACTCTGCACCATTCTTGCAATCTCTGCTGTGCTCAAGCCACTGTTGAAGCCACCGTGCCAATCCGTCTGACTGCGAGTCTTCCTCGCCTCTTCGGACTCTCCACCTTTCTAAGCCTTATTCACTTTTTCCAGGGACTGGTCCTCCTGACAAAATGACCCAAAGTTGCAAAGTTTCCCAATTTTTGACTATAAGGAGCACTTCTGGCTGCATATACAGTTAATGAAAATAAAGGATGCAAATACTTTAAACTTCCATTAGGTCTATGATTTTGAGTTATTGCTACTTTTGGTGTGACCTGGATTAGTTAATCATATGAATGGGGAAATGGAGGGGTTTTAGAGTAAGAAAGATTTCAAGCAGAAGATAAGAGCATGAATAATGTCTAACATGAAAAGAGCTTGGTCCTTTTGATGAACAAGGAAAATATCAGTGTGGCTGGAACACAGGAAGGGTGAAGAGTGGGGAAAAACAAAGTAGGATAGCAAGGTAAAGTAGTACTCCTCTGAAAAGATTCCCAGTGGAAGCCCTTTTTAGTATCATTTGGCTAGGATTTTGAAGCTCTGCCTCACTTACTTTGTGCACATGGCCAGGAGAGTTTAGTCCTTGGAAAAGGACATCATGCTCAGAAGAGTGGATGGAAAGCACAGAAGGGGAACCCCAGATGAAATGTTACAGTAACTGGGGCAATAGGGGTTGGTGTGCTGCAGTTAGTGAGTCTGGCTCAGGACAGGGAAGGGTTTAGAGCTGCTGTACATATGGTCACTACACATCACAGGTGACTCAACAGCACACAACAACAATAAAATACCATAACAGGTTTGGAAGCAGGAGTGGCATCCGCTTCCTAAATAACAGGCCTCTGGAGAAACTCCATGAACTTTGATAAATGTCCAATAGTTGTAGAGGCACTTCAGGCTTTTTGTTCATACAGTCACTATGAGTTGTGCTTGACTCTAAGGCAATCAACAAGAAGATGACATGTTAACACATTAATAACTAAGGTTTTGAGGAAAAGATAGAGAAAGTAGAATGAAAGATGACCAAAAGGCATACAGAAAACTTAGTGTTTATGTGTTTATTCCTCCAATCCTCCGTTTAGGACCCCAGTCTGAGAAAGGAGAGATCTTTATTCTAAGAGCAATAGCAAGCCACTGTGGAGTTTTAAGCAAGTTACTATGGTTGCTAGACATGGTCAAGTTAGTTCTGACTTACAGCAATTCTGTGTACAACAAAGGAAATACTGTCCAAGCCTGCACCATCCCCACAGAATCACTGCTATGTTTGAGCTAATAATGTAACCACTGTGTTAATCCATCTCGTTAAAGGTCTTCCTCATGTTTCTGTCAAGAGCTACTTGACAGAATCATAGGGTCATACAATTTGATGAGGGGTTGGGGAGTGAAGGAAATTGGAAAGATATGGTGTCAAAAACAATATACTCAAATTGTATAAATAAACCAGTAGAACAAATTAAAAATAAAGAGCAAATGTATGGTTTCAACAGAGACTGAAAATATAAGCAAAGCAGATTAAAAGAATGAGAGAATCAAAAGTATTTTTGGGGAGCACTGGTGGCCTAGTGGCAAGAAGCTGCACTGCAATCCCAGAGGTGTACATTTTGAATCCACTAGATGCTCTGCTGGAGAAGGAGGGGCTATCACCTCCTGTACCAGTCAGATCCAATATGATGGTGTACACACACACACACACACACAAAAAAAAAAAAATTAAAAAAGTATTTAATCTTGTGATTAACAATTGTGAAGGGTACTATTTTTCTTAGCTCTAGTTCTGTTTTCTCTTTGTTACTGTAGAAAAACCCAATTGATTTTTGTATGTTGATCTTATATCCTGCCACTTTGCTGAAATGATCAACTATGTCCAGGAGTTTCCTTGCTGAGTCTCTAGGGTTTTCTAAGTATACTATCATATATCATCTGCATATAATTTTACCTCCTTTGCCAATTTGTATACCTTTCTCCCCTTCTCTTGTCTTAGTGCTATCTCTAAGACTTCTAATACTATATCAAATAGGAGAAGTGATAGTGGGTATCCTTGTCTAGCTCTTGTTCTCAAAGGGAATGCCTTTAACCTCTCTCCATTGAGAACAATGTTGTCTCTCAGGTTTGCATATATACTTTTTACTATACTGAAGAAATTCCCCTCTAATCCTATTTTGTTGAGTGTTTTAATCAGGAACGGGTGTTAGATTTTTGTCAAAGGCCTTTTCTGTATCCATTGATAGGATCATGTGGTTCTCGTTCTTTGCTTTGTTAATGTGATGACTTACACTGATTGTTTTTCTTATGTTGAACCATCCTTGCATACCTGTTATGAATCCTGCTTGGTCATGGTGATTTTTTTTTTATGTATCATTGGATTCTATTTTATTAAGGATTTTTTCATCTATGTTCATAAGAGATAATGACCTATAGTTTTCTATTTTCAAAGTCTTTACCTGACTTTGGTGTTAAGGATATGTTTGCTTCATAAAATGAGTCTGGGAGGATTCCATCTTTTTCTATATTCTGAAATAGTATATGTAGAATTGGTGACAGTTCTTCTCTAAATGTTTTATAAAGTTCACCTGTAAAACCATCTGGTCTAGGGCTTTTTTGGTTGGAAGTTGTTTTATTACCTTTTCAATATCTTCTTTTGTAATGGGTCTGTTCAGGTGTTCAATTTCTGTATGTGTAAGTTTAGGTGGGTTGTGCATTTCTAGATATTTGTCCCTATCCCCTCAGTTTTCATATTTTTTGAGAATAGCTTTAAATAATATTATAATGTTAGCCTTTTTATTTTATTTGGTTCTGTTGTGATGTTGCCCATTTCATCTCTTATTCAGATTATCTGTGTCTTTTCCTTTTTTCAATTTTGCTAGTGGTTTGTCGATTTTATTGACCTTTTCAAAGAACAAACTCCTTGTTTTGTTGATGGTTTCAATTATTTTTTTGTTGTTTTCTATTTCATTTATTTCTGCTCTAATTTATAATTTCAGGTTTTTTTAGAGGTTGTTGGGTTTTCTTGCTGTTCTTTTTAAATCTGTTGGAGACATTGGGTTAGAGAGTCATTGGTCATTTTGATGTGTTTGCTTATTGCTATAAATTGGCCTCTGATTACTACTTTTGCCATTTCCCAGAGATTTTGGTAAGTGGTGTTTTCATTGTCATTTGTTTCAAGAAACTTTTTAATTTCATTTTTTATTTCTTCTAGTATCCACTCATGTCCAAGCAAGTGGTTGTTCAGCTTCCAAATGTATGGTTTTTCTCCTTTATCCCCTTGTTATTAATTTCTAATTTTGTGGCATTGTGGTCTGAAAAGATGTTTTGTATTATTTCTGTGTTTTTTAATTTATTAATGCTTGCCTTGTGACCTATAATGTGAACTATTGTAGAGAACATTCCATGCACATTGGAAAAGAATGAATACTGTGCTTTTTGGGGTGCACTAGCCAAAACAACAATACGATATCATCTCACCCCAGTAAGAATAGCAAAATTTAACAGAAAAGGACACAACAAATGTTGGCAAGGCTGTGGAGAAACTCGAACCCTTATTCACTGTTGGTGGGAGTGTAAAATGGTACAACCACTATGGAAGGCTGTATGGTGCTTTCTCAAAAAGTTGTAAATAGAAATACTATTTGACCCAGCAATTCCACTACTGAGAATATACCCTAAAGAAACCATAACTGCCACCCAGACAGATACATGCACACCTATGTTTATTTTGGCTTTGTTCACAATAGCAAAAAGTTGGAAACACCTCAAGTGCCCATCAACAAATGAATGGATAGAGAATATCTGGTATATTCACACAATGGTATATTATGCAGCACTGGAAAACAAATAACTTATGAAATATTACACAAAATGGTTGACCGTGGAGGACATTATGCTGAGTGAAATATCTCAGTCACAAAAGACAAATACAGCATAATGCCACTGTTATAAAAGAGGATTGACACAGGGGTTGGGGAGAGACTGAGAAAGATGGGATAAATTATGTATACTGCATTGAAACATGAGGGAGAGAACTGTTTAAAAGGGATATTGTTGTTATGTGCCATCAAGTCGCTTGCAACTCATAGTGACCTTATGTACAACAGCCCTAAACTCTGCTTGGTCCTGTGCCAATTGCACTGTCTGCCACACACCCATCCCTATTATCCCAGTCACTGAATCAATCCACCTCATAGAGGGCCTTCCCCTTCTGCACTGTCCCTCTACCCTACCAAGCATGATGTCCCTCTCCAAGGACTGGTCCCTCCTTACAAGATGTCCAAAGTATGTTAGATGGAGCCTCGGAATCCTTGCCTCCAGGAAGCTGCCCGGTTTAACCCTCTGCAGGATGAATCTGTTTGTTTTCCTAGGAGTCCATGGTACCCTCAATACTCTTCTCCAGCACCACAGCTCAAAGCCATCAATTCTCCTTCTATCTTCCTTAGTCACTGTCCAACTCTCTGATGCATAACAAGTGATAGCAAAGACCATGGACTGTATCGACACACCTTAGTCTCCAGAGAGACACCATTGCTCTTTAGTAATTTGGAGAGGTCCCTAACAGCAGACTTTCCCATGGCAATGCGCCTTTTAATTTCCTGGCTACTGGTGCTGAGAGTGTTGACTGTGGAGCCAAGCAAACTAAAGCTGTGAACAATCTCAATCTCTTCACCATCCATCCTGATGCTGCCAATTGGTCCAGTGGTGAGAATCTCTGACTTCTTGATACTGAGTCTCAATCCATACTGGAGGCTGCAGTCCTTTACCCTCTGTAGCAAGCGGTGACTGGATATTATTGTCACGACAGAAGTCCAGAGCGAAGGTAGCATAGTGGAGTAGACTTGGGGAGGAGGAAATGAATAACAATGAACTAATTTTTTCTTTTACTTTTCAAAAAGAAAGCGAATTGGGGCAGGGGTGGGCAGAGAGAAAAATGCAACAATGAATGAATGGAAATCCAAAGTCTCTAAACTTTTAAATAAATTTTTTTAAAAAGGTATTTTCAGAATTTGATCTATGTGTAATGGCTCTGAAAAGAAATAAGTCTAGAAAGTAAAAAAAAATAAAGCATTTAAAGAAGAAATATATCTTTAGGAGTCTCCAGTAGAATAGTGGGAAGGAAACTGGGCAGC